CTCAGTGCTGTACTACTGACTGTTTTAGCTACAATTCTTCAAGCTGTATAGTAGTTCACGAATCCATGGCAACAAAGATCGTATTTCAGACCACTTACCGAGTCGTTCATGTTCAGAGACAGTAAATCAGAAATCAGTTTTTTGTCTACGTGATTATAAAAAACGAAACGGCGATGTATCACAAACTTCATATACAGGTAACCTCCAGGTAATTCACTTCGCCTGCGTTCAGGACTTTCCAGTTTCATCACCTCTTAATTTTCTGTATCCCCTTTAAGGATATGCGCAGGGTATATAGGACTTGTTTAAACAACACTATAAGACTCTAATCCTATAACACATAAACACTAGTAAACTAGAAAACTACAAAAATCCCTAAAAGTCAACTAGCGATCAGTCATTGTTGCTGTTGTCCAGCAACTTTTGGATGTAATCGTTTACCCTAGATTCACAACAAGATATGAAAAGGAGGGACTGCGTAACGGACAGAATTAAGAGGAAAGGCGGAGAAATGGATTCCATTTATTGCGTTTACTGGAAATTGCCATGCATTCACTTTTCACTCATAAGTGATTCCCATATACCTCTGGTACAACTCTGCAGTGTGACATGCTCTGTTTATGTGTACTTCATAATGATACCGTTAGAGTTACGTATACTACTTGGTATTGTGTTGAATAATCTCCATTCAATAGACATACTTAAACGCTGCTGGATAGACTTAAACGCACACAACTGATGAATTTGGTAAATAGTGCCGCACATCCGACTACAATTCCGAAGAGAATGCTAAAGATCAGCACGTGGATTAATTAGCTGGTTTGCGCTCTACATGGCTGAAGTGAATTCAGTGAAATCATTTTACCGGTATGAAGTGTGCTAAACCTACATACAAAATCGGTTACTAACCAAGATATAGCTCTGTATTGGGACGGCTTTTCTGTGTAAAATAGGCAAAGATTTACTCATTACATTATATGTTGCATTAAGGCGTTTCAACTCATTCTCACGAATTTACACATGCTACTTGGTACAATAGGCGCAAAGAACAAATTATTCAAAAGCAGTATTTAAAACGTGTCATCATCATCATCATCAACGACAGCATGACATCNCTATGCTGAAAAGCCGAGAAGCCTTGTACGGCCGTTCCATCCTTAATGAGGATTAACAGCAGTGCGCAACTCTCGAAAATCCATGGAGTCTGCAAACCAGCTTTTCCGCTTTTCTAACCATCTTGTTTATGTAGTCCAACTTCATGTGAACTTGCTGATGGCGATGGCTGTTCATGTTGCAGACGGTCGTTCAAAACATTGTAGTACACTCTAGTCAACTTATCACTTGTTGCTTATCACTTCTGCCATTTAAGGTTTTGTCTGTCCAACTGCAACTATTATGTGATCACTTCGCTTCTCTGAATAAATTTTAGTCGCCCGTTTAAAGTAAGAACTTTCCTCTCCCAAGAACCCAGCACTTGACATGCTATCACAACTGATGAGGTACAACTACATACGTAGTTGAAATGTCCCATACGACCAAATCACGCCACGGTAGACGACCCTCCAGAAGCACCGAATGTAACTCACACTTATCGTTCAAATGAATCCAACGTCATTTGCTATAGAAATATCGAACACCTCTTCACTGACATATAGGAAGATCAACGTGCACTGTCTCAGCGGTCCACAAGAGCGATAAGACAATCGAAACCGCTGAGCAGATGCTGCCCCATAAATAATACTCGTTTAGGTAATGCCCGCCTCTGTGTCTACGCGTACCTGATCTTTGGATCAGAAGTTTGGTCTGGCTGTGATGGCAGAGTTAGCGGCCTGTTATAACCTAATCTTTGCTCCATCCAGATTTTACGCTACGCTCCTCTATTAAGTCAAATAGTCCATATTTAAAACCTAGAAGCATGGCTCCGTTCGACTGAGAGGTATGGGGGCCTGTCTGGAACTAATGGCGATGTCCCTTTGAATAATGGCGAAACGTTTGCAAATTAACTACCAAGCTCCACAAACAGAACATCCGCCTGACTAACGGCCAGTGAAAGCACCCGAGCTACAAGTAGTCTGGTACATTTCTCACCAACTGATTGACTTGCTGGTTGACTGACATTTCTTAGTGTCCCCAAGCGCTGATGCACTTAATGAAAGGTGCAAGTTCATGTCAAAGTTGGCGCAGGGCTAACCTTCGACTCCGCATTGCTAACTGACTGACTTAACAAGGATGCCCTGAGAAAAGGTTGATACGTCATACACCCATTCACATTTCGTGGCTAGAAAACAGGGTCAGGGTTAAATAATACTGACCCTTGTAGCGACCCAGTCACCCATATACTTGACTGTTCAACTCAATCGCTCACTGGATCGCGAGGCTTGTCTATTTTCTCATACGCACAAACACGTCGCATTAAGCTGACACATCGGACATCGATTGTCTGCACCGCCTAGTCAG